GAATAACTCACTGAAAGCAAGAGGTTGTTATGTGAGGCTGGACTGAAACTAAAAACAGGGTTAGAGGACAGAGCCATTACATTGCTTACTTATAAGAACTTCAGCAGAGGAATAACTGTGAGTATGTGAGTGAAGTAACTTCAATAGCACAGCACCCATGTGTAAAAGTAAGGAGGTGTGGATGTGTTTTTCTGATACCTTTAGACCATAGTAAAGATGTTAGGAAAACAGGACTGCAGAAGTGCAGAGCATCAGACACTTGCTAGAAATGGTCACAGAGAAGCAAAGTCAGTTAATACAAAGAGGTTGTAGGATTTGGCAATATCAGACTGCAGAATAAAGCTGCTCACAGCTTTTCCAGTGATACTATTTTAGAAATATCCCCATTCTGAAAATTAAATATAAGACTGTCTTCTTGGCTTCAGTCCTCCTCCAGAAGTTCTGTGCTGAATCAAGGCCTGAATCATCAACTGGATGCAGCTAGCAAAGGCTGCATGAGTTCTCGCAGGTATCAAACCATGACGGGGCTCAATGAACTATGCTATACAGTTCAGACTTTTCCATCAAATCGCAACACTTATCTCTAAAGGAACTCTCATGCAAAGATGTGAAGTTTCTGATGCAGAAAGTATAGCTGTTTCTGCCAGTTATACCCGCTCTGCCACAGCTTTTGAGCTCCAGCTACATGTGCGCACCAGGTACCCATCCTTCCAACTGCTCTCAGTAAAAAGAGCCCTGAAAAGGGACTACAGGAGGGAGATTTCTTCCTTGGGCTGTGGAAAAGAGCTGGCCTCCGTATACAGATTCCTCTCAGCTGCAAGAGTTGATATCCATTTCTGGCTGTGTCCTGGCTTGTCCACAGATACTCGCTGGTCAGTATGAAGACTGAGCATTCACTTCTATTTTGACTATTTTGATCATAAGCTTTTTGGGGCACTGTCTCTTGCGACATGTTTGCCTTGTGCCCAGTCTTGGCTGAAGTCTCTCTGGTTAGTACTCAAACACCAAAACCAAGTTGCAGTTGCCCAAAATTGCAATTGCTATGGCCCAACAGAAAACATTTAGGGTAACCGCAAGCCAGCACTGAGATTCTGTGTTGTTTAAACCCTCTACTCTTCCCTTTCTAAGCTCTCCATGTGTATGTGCACCTGGGGACACAATGCCACGTGAAAGAAAGTGATAAATGGAGCCAATGGAGTTTTTCACATCCTGAAAAGCAGAAGGGCAAAACGATATATCACAATTTTAGAGATCAAACACACCAGCTGTGGAATGGCTGTGTTCCCTTGGGAGAACACAGCTGCATGTTTTCCAAGGGATTAGCTTCAAAGTTAAGTTCTTCTCTGGAAGATTTCAATAAAAGCCCATATGGACACTCCTCCCTGGCTCCACAGGTGCTGCTCTCTGTTCAGGCACAGCCTGCTGCCAGGATAAAAGAGCTGTCCCTGGTATTGTACCTCATACCTCTCTGCCCTCACTTGTGCCAAAACACCTGTACACAAGGCAGATCTTGCAAAGCTTTATCCAGGCAGAGGAAGAGAACAGATGCCTCACACCAAAAGTCACGCAGACCCTATGGACGGGTTGTGCTGTGTTCCAGCCAGGTCAAGAGAACAGAGCCAGGCCTGCCATCAGCCTCCCGACACCGTACCCCTCTTTGTGCCTTCCTCAATAACCTTGATAAAACAGCAGAGTCCCCAAGTACCTGTCTGTATTTGCTGTGGATACAAAGCAGACTGAGAGGCCAGCTCCTTTTCCTTTCCTGAGATCTGCACTGTGATTCGCATCACTGTTCAGAGAAGCCACTCAAACCATCCAG